AAGCTCTGTCTCAAAAAAAAAACCAAAAAAACCAACTCTGAACTGTGTCTCAGAGAACCATTAAATTATTTGAAGAAATATTGTATGGACAAGGAAAAACTAAATGAAAATAAAATTATTTAAATTTAGTTATGTATGTATAGGGACTTATAATATATTTCCGATGAACAGGAACTTTATTATTATTTTTTTTTTTAGGAAACACAGGGTTAATAACAGCCACTATTTACTTAGCCCTTTTTATATGCAATGTCATGACAGTCATGGCAAGCAGAATTCATGCCCATTTTATTTCAAGAAAAAAAACTGATGCTCAGAGAATCAGAGCATTGCTGAAGCTGGAATTAGAATTCCAGGCTATCAACTCCAAGTCTGCTCTGAACCATCATACATGGATTATACTACCCCTCAAACATATCTTTTAAAATCCTAGTTTCCCAAAACAAAAAACCTAAATGGCCACATCTTTTGTAGATAAAGACCTGTTATTTACCTACTACATTTAACCACTCTCTATAAAGTTTCTTGTCTGAAGGAGACTGGCAGCATTACTAATTATACTGCTAATTAACCTTCAACTATTTGTATAGCACATAAGAAATAACACTGCTCACATATACGACAGGAACTTTAGAAACATTATTGGATCTAACTTGCAGATGGGGAATCCGGTTCTGAAAGTTCATTCTATTTCCCCAAATCATACAGCAAGTAAGTGGTAGAACTGAACTCAGAAATCCTATTTCCAAAGTCCATACTATATTATATGATTTTAATATGAAAATTGAGCAGCATCTGGGGCTCAGTGAGGAGGACACCGACCCCATATACAAAAGGTGGTGGGTTTGAACCTGGCCCGGCCAAACTGCAACAAAAAATAGCCAGGCATTGTGATGGGAGCCTGTAGTCCCAGCTACTCAGGAGGCTGAGGCAAGAGAATTGCCAAAGCCCAAGAGCTGGAGGTTGCTGTGGGCTGTGATGCCACAGCACTCTACCAAGGGTAACAAAGTGAGATTCTGTCTTAAAAAAAAAAAGAAAAGAAAAAAGAAAAAGAAAAAATCATGGTGCAGTGGCTCTCACTTTTAATCCTACCACTTCAGGAGGCCAAGTCAGGTGGATTGTTTGGGTCAGAATTTGAGACCAGCCTGAGCAAGGGCAAGACCCTGACCCTACTAAAAATAGTGAGTTTAAGGTTGCTGTGAGCTATAATGATGCCATGGCACTATATTCAGGGCGACAGTCTCACAGTTAAAAAAAAGAAAAAGGAAAAAATTATGGTGGGGTGGTGCCTGTAGCTCAAGCAGCTAAGGTGCCAGCCACATACACCAGAGCTGGTAGGTTTGAATCCGGCCCAGGCCTGCCAAACAATAACAACTATAACCAAAAAATAGTCAGGTGTTGTGGCAGGCATCTGTAGTCCCAGCTACTCCAGAGGCTGAGGCAAGAGAATCCCCTAAGCCCAAGAGCTGGAGGTTGCTGTGAGCTGTGACGCCATAGCACTCTATTGAGGGCAACAAAGTAAGACTCTGTCTCTTAAAAAAAAAAAATAGCTAAGCGTTGTGGTAGGTGCCTGTAGTCCCAGCTACTTGAGAGGCTGAGGCAAGAGAACTCCTGACCACAAGCAATCTACCTGTGTGTATTCCTAATCCAGAGTGTTAGGATTACAGGCATGAACCACTGCACCTAGCCCTAACATACAGGGAGGACAAGGTAAGTGGATTGCCTGAGTGGGTAGATTGCCTGAGCTCACAGGTTTGAGACCACCCTGAGCAAGAGCGAGATCCCATCTCTAAAAATAGCCAGGCATTGTAGCAGGTGCCTGTAGACCCAGCTACTTGGGAGGCTGAGGCAAGAGAATGACTTGAGCCTAAGAGTTTGAGGTTGCTGTGAGCTGTGATGCCATGCACTCTACTGAGGTCAACAAAGTGAGTCTCTGTCTCAAGAGAAAAAAAAAAGTTTTGCTGGAGACAGGGTCTCACTCTGTCACCCAGGGTAGAGTACAACCACACAATCACAGCTTACTATAACCTTGAATTCCTGGCCTCAAGTAATCCTTCTGCCTTCTATAATGTTGAGATTGTGGGTATCAACCAACATACTTTTCAAAGCCTTTCATAATCCAGTTATTTCAATTTAGTTTCCTACTATATCCTTTTACATATTTGTGGTCTAAAAATCTCAGACTACTCACCACTTCCAAAACATAATTTTAATTTCTTTTTTTTTTTTTTCTGAGACAGAGTCTCACTCTGGGTGCAGTGCTGTGACATCATGATAGCTCATAGCAACTTCAACTTCTTGGGCTTGAGGAATCCTCTTGCCTACGCTTCCCAAATAGCCGGAACTATAGGAGCCCACCACAAGGCCCAGTTGATTTTTTTCTATTTTTAGTAGATGAGGCCTCACTCTTGCTTAGGCTGGTCTTGAACTCCTGACCTCAAGCAATCCACTGGCTTACTGCTCCCAGATTGCTAGGATTATAGGAGTGAGCCACCTCCCCTGGTTACAACTTTGGTTTTCTTGCCTGTGTTTATGGTATATTCCCTCAACCAGTCCTACCCTTCTTCCCTGTTCTGTTGGTAAGCACAATAGTCTTCAAATTTTAGTAAAGTAAAATGTACCTGAAATTTGGCTTAAAATACGAATTCCTTAAGTCCTACCACCAAGATTTTGATTCAAAGGCCTGAGGAAGCACCCTGGAATCTGCATTTCAACAAGCACTCCCATATGATTTAGTATGGGCAATCAGAGATACTGGTTTGTTTTTTTTTTGAGACAGAGACTCAAGCTATCCCCCTGGGTAGAGTGCTGTAGCATCCCAGCTCATAGCAACCTCCAACTCCTGGGCTCAAGTGAGTCTCCTGTCTCAGCCTCCCAAGTAGCTAGGACCACAGGTGCCTGCCACAGCACCCAGCTATTTTTTGGTTGCAGCTGTCATTGTTGTTTTGGCGGGTCCAGACTGGATTCAAACTCCCCACCTTAGGTGTATGTGGCTGGTGCCTTAGGCACCTGAGCCACAGGCGCTGAGCCAAGATACTGGTATTGTAAAAGAGAGATGATCTGCGTTTGCTTCCCACATCTGGTATTTGTTATGTGACTTTAGAAAAATGATTGAACTTAGTTAAGCTTCCTTTTCTCTCCTGTAGAATGGGGATGACAAAACTCTTATCTTTTTAGGATCACTAGATGTGGTAGTATTCATTACAGAGGAGAGAGAGAATACTTTTATGACTGTTCTTTAAGATCCTATTCAACATCTTCCTATAAATCCTTCTTTGTTACTCTTGTTGGAATTAAACACATGTTCCTTTTTGCACCTATAGAATGTTATAATATATTGATTTAGCATTTATTTAATTCTATCTTTTTTTTTCTTTTGGAAGAGCAAAATGTCTGAATCATTCTCTTTTTCACACACTTAATTTATTAGTCTCCTATTCTGGATTATAAGTGTTTTGAAGGCAAGGACACTGCTTATTTCATAATTGTATTAAGTATCATGTATGTGTCTTACATATATCAATACATACTAAAAAAAAGAAGTATTTCTCACTCTAAGGTAATTTTTATTACAAATAGGCACATTTGCTGGGTGCAGTGGCTCATGCCTATAACCTAGCACTCTGGGAGGCCGAGACAGGTGGATTGCTTGAGCTCAAGAGTTCCAGACCAGCCTGAGCAAGAGTGAGATACCATCTCTACTAAATATAGAAAAACTAGCTGGGCATGGTGGCCCATGCCTGTAATCCTAGCACTCTAGGAGGCCAAGGTGGGTGGATTCCTTGAGCTCAGGGGTTTGAGACCAGCATGAGCAAGAGTAGGTTCCCAGTCTATTAAAAATAGAAAAACTAGACAGGTGCAGTGGCTCATGCCTATAGTCCTAGCACCCTGGGAGGCTAAGGCAGGTGGATTTTTTAGCTCAGGAGTTCAAGACCAGTCCGAGCTAGAGTGAAACCCTATTTCTAAAACTAGGTGACAGGCTTGGTGCCTGTAGCACATTGGTTACAGTGCCAGCCGCATATACCGAGGGTGGTGGGTTTGAACCTGGCCCAGGTCAGCTAAACAACAATGACAACTGCAACCAAAAATAGCCAGGTGTTGTGGCAGTTGCCTGTAGTCCCAGCTACTTGGGAGGCTAAGGCAAGAGAATTGCTTAAGCTCAAGAGTTTGAGGTTGCTGTGAGCTGTGATACTACAGCACTCTACTGAGGGCAACATAATGAGACTCTGTTTCAAAAAAAAAAAATAACAAAAATAGGTGAGTATTGTGGTAGGTGCCTATAATCCCAGCTGCTCTGGAGGCTGAGGCAAGAGGATCACTTGAGCCCAAGAGTTTGAGGTTGCTGTGAGCTGTGACACCACAGTACTGTACTCATGGTGACAAAGGGAGACTCTCAAAACAAGACAAAACAAAAAACCCCAAAGAGGCACATTTAACTTGTTTTATTTTTTTTTTGAGTCTCAAGCTGTTGCCATGGGTAGAGTGCTGTGGAATCATATCTCACAGCAACCTCAAACTCTTGGGCTTAAGCGATTCTCTTGCCTCAGCCTCCAAAGTAGCTGGGACTACAGACGCCTGCCACAGTGCCTGGTTATTTTTTGGTTGTAGTTGTCATTGTTTGGCAGGCCTGGGCTGGATTCAAACCCACCAGCTCCAGTGTATGTGGCTGGCGCCCTAGCCACTGAGCTACAGTAGGCACTGAGCCCACATTTAACTTTTTAATATATTAAAATAATAATAAGCAATACTACTACAACATTAAAAACTATTAATAGTTAAGAAAAAATGTGATAGTCATAGATTTTTTAATCTATCCAAAAATACTTTTTGAAGTATTTTATTCATATAAGGAATTGGATTGAGATCTTGTTAAGTAATCCTCCCATCCCTGTCCGACCCCTCTCTACTTACTAGGGATGAGGATTCAAAGAAGCTGAGGACAGGTTTGCTGAGTCAGGGTCAGTAAAAATATCAATCTAATTCTTGCTAATTTTTTCAAGAAACAACATAACCAAACAATTAAAAGCCATCCAAAACACTGGAAAAGGGTATGAGACCCAAAACCTCTACACAATGCTGAGCAGAATTGATGACTACCGGAAAAAGGTGATGTCGATGTGGACTGAGAAGCAGATGGCTCTAGAGCAGAAACGGAATCTGTACCTGAGGGAAATGATACACATATTTGGCCAGGTAATACGTTTTCCATTCCCTCTCTCCAGGATGTTATTAAGTAAAAAAAAAAAAAAGAAAGTGATAAGCTTTGAAAATAACATTTACAACTCGGCGCCTGTGGCTCAAGCGGCTAAGGCGCCAGCCACATACACCTAAGGTGGCGGGTTCAAATCCAGCCCGGGCCGCCAAACAACAATGACGGCTGCAACCAAAAAATAGCCCGGCATTGTGGCAGGCGCCTGTGGTCCCAGCTACTTGGGAGGCTGAGGCAGGAGACTTGCTTGAGCCCAGGAGTTGGAGGTTGCGGTGAGCTTTGATGCCACAGCACTCTACCCAGGGGGACAGCTTGAGTCTCTGTCTCAAAAAGAAAAAAAGCAAATAACATTTACCCGGAGACATGTATATTAACTCCTTAGGGCTGCTGTAACAGATGACCACAAACTTGGTGGCTTAAAAACAATTATAATTTATTCTCTCACAGTTCTAGTGGTCAGAATTTCATGAAATCAAGATGTTTGCAGGTAGTGCCCATACTTCAGTGGGTGGGGCTCCAGCCACATACACCAAGGCTGGTGGGCTAGCTAAAATAACTACAACAACAACAAAAAATAGCTGGGCGTTGTGGTGGACGCCTGTAGTCCCAGCTACTTGAGAGGCTGAGGCAAGAGAATTGCTTAAGCTCAGGAGTTTGAGGTTAATGTGACCTGTGATGCCATGGCACTCTATCCAGGGAGACAGCTTGAGACTCTGTCTAAAAAAAAAAAAAATGTTTGCAGGAAAACCCTGAGGGAGAAATTTGTTAAATGCCTCTCTCCCAGGCTGTGGTGGTTGATGACAATACTTGGTGGGATTTCTTAGTTTATAAACACATAACTCCAATATTTGCTTTTGTCCTTCAAGTGGCCTTTATCTGAGTATACCTTCTGTCTTCTCTTTTGTCTCTCTCTCTCTTTTTTTAGAGACAGAGTCTCATTTTGTTGCCCTCGGTAGAGTGCTGTGGCATTACAGCTCACAGCAACCTCCAACTCCTGGGCTTATGCATTTCTCTT